GTAAGGAATGCACTCCGGAATAGGGAATACGTGGGGGCGGTTCTGGGGACAGCCGCTGTGAACATAGAAGTACAGCAAGGCACAACGGCACAGGGGCAGACATGAGTGGCATTAATTCTGGGAAAGTAACGGAGAGGCCAAGCGCAATGAAGACAGAAAGACGCTCAAAGAGTGGCACGACTCGGGGATTGAATGGTTTTTACGGCTCGATACGGACACGTAACATACAGAGTAGATATACAAGCCATCTAGGCACATGAGCAGAGCCAAAGAGTGAGTAAAATGACCACTCACCCAGTCCCAATGCCGCACCGGACCTGGAATTAGTCCATAGTTTGTCCCGGACTGAAGCCGACACCGGTTGATGGCGTTCTGCGTGCTTCAGGCTATGGATGACAAGGTGGCACAGGGTGGCGCAAGGGTGGCGACAATCCGATGATGATGGCGGCCACTCACCAACTCCCACAGTGTGTCGCCGTCCGTCCCAGCTCCAGTCACAGATGAGTATTGGCAACGATGCAGTTGCGGCGCAGTAGTTGGGTGCAATTGAAGCCTAGGCAGTTGGCGGATAACCCAGCTCGTTCCCCGAGTGTCGTCGAAGGTGAGGGGTGGCTCGCGATGGGTGTGGAAGAGAAGTCGAAGACGCCACGCGGTCATCGGTGATCGGCGTTCCAGCTTGCGGCCGCTGAACACGTGGTGGTGGTTGATGACTGAATTCGGACGGAAGACAACAAACGCCAACAACGCCCTCTTCTTTTCCCTCATCTCACCGACTCTCTGTCTCATCCTCTCGCTGGTTTCTGCTGTCTGATACTTCGTCCACTAGGGAACAATGTTACCCAGTGAGTATACCTAGCTGCTGCGGGCCGTCGGAGCCGTCCTAGTCTGACTCATTCCCTTATAGACTCCATCCTCTCAGCGCCGACTCGGTCCTGGACTTGAAGTCTTGACGGGAGACCTTCAGCCAAGAGTGCGTTCCCTGACTCTTCCACACATCTCGCCCACTGATGATGCAGTCCCTCGTAGGGTGACTGACGTCGCGGACCGTGGCTGCGTCCGCTGCCACATATGTCGAGCTACAGTATGTCATCCATTTTCTCACATTATCCGCAGTCGTTGACCTCTGTCGGCCAGGCTTTCTCCCTCTCCTCAAATCCGCCTGCGTGGTACGCCAAACACTGTGAGTTGCCATGTTCCACCTGCGATCTTAACATCCTAATGTCCAGATAGGCTATCAACCACCGACCCAGTCGGCTCCTTACGCACACCTATGACCCGAATTACTTCATCTTTGTCAGCCTGTGCCCAATTTTCAGGCGCCATCGATGTGCGCATTGTCGGCGCTGCCGCCGCTACCTGGGTACATGTTCAATGTGCCTACGTGTAATCCGAAGTCTAATTCTTGACCCAACAGTCTCAGTCTGGGCTCCGTGCTGTCGTTATTGCTTTGTTGCTAAGGGTACGTGCACTATCTTCTCTGCATAAGTAGATTTGTACATTCGATAGTGCTCAATGCAATATATATCTTCTACCTTCATTTGTGTGAAATATGGGTGTTTCGGGGCAGCTTTTGGAAGTGCTTTTGGGGGCAACCAGGCCGCTTTTCTGAGGGTAAAAAGCACTTTTTTAAGCAAAGGGACCTAGCTTAAAAAAGTGCCGGACACTTTTTCCTCTTTTCCACTTTTGACGCTTTTCTGGGTCCAAAAAAGACACAAAAGAGGAAAAAGCCCAAGGTGTCAAGTTGCTGATGCGATTGAGATTGTAGATAGTGTTTTATCTTGAATTCTCATTGGCTCCTTAGTCTCAATGAGGAGCTTCCTCCGAAAGAGCATGGAACTCGGCCGTCACGGAACATCAATGGCGTCGCTAGGGATTCAAGTTACGAAATATATTCATATGGTCTCCACGCTGTCCCGGAGCTTCCAGATAAATCCATGAGAAATTGGACAGAGGTACAAGAGGTATATTACAGTTCTCTCCTCTTTTTTCCCTTTTCCGCTTCTTTTTGCAACTTGAATTCTCCGCCGTCTCTCCTGACATGGGCCATGGGCCGAATTCAATAGTAACACGGGTTCATGTGGTCGAACTTCACGATCCTCAAGGTATGTACGAAAGAAAGATTGTCCAAGTCTGACACCTTCACATGCGCAGAGAACTAATTACATACTAATACTATACCCCGGTGGAGGTTCATCAGACAAGCCCAAAGCCCACGATGACTCCATCTGCCTCTCCAGAGTCTCAATCCGCGCCGTCAGCGCCGTATTCTTGTCCCTGGCCAGCCGCAAGAGTTCCGCGAGATTGAACTCTCCCGAGTCCGCACCGGGTTGTGCAGTAGAACCCAAAATCGAGGCTAGACTTTGTCTCGATATCGATGTGGACGAATCCGTGGTGAGCTCATCGACGTCCACCATCTGTCCTTGAATTCTACGGAGCTCTTCTTCTAGGAACTGCCGTCGAGCTGCTGCGTCGCTCGCGACGCTGTTGTACCGAGTTGCGGGTTGGGATTCAAACTCGGGCTCGGGCTCTTCTTCTGAACGTCTCAGAGTACCCTCCCCCGACTGGGCGACCTGGGCCGGCTCAGGCTCCGGAAATGGCATCTTCTCACGCAGTGGTTCCGCCGGAAGGACAACAACCGTAAGTGTATGCCCCTCCCGCGTCATTTCGTGGATATCCACGATCTGCTCCTGCGTTCAAAAGTCAGTTCACAGTCAGCACAGCATGCAGCACGACGCACCGGCTGGGTCTCCATCATGATGGGACCCGGAATTGGCGTATCTTCCTCCCCGATACCCAACTCGGAACCATTCACCGAGCTCAACAAATCCCAATTATCCTCCCGAGCCGTCCTGCGGCGCGATTGTGCCATTAGTCTGCGGATCTTAGGCCAACATGCGAGGAGTAGGCAGAGTGGGAGAAGGACAGAGGGGATGATGATGGAGAGTAACTTGGATGCTGAGGAGCCTTCTTCTAGCCTGCGTTGAAGTTGGCCACGGTGAGGGGGCGGGGGCATTGTAAGTTATAGCGGCTAGGGCAGCATGCTAATTAGTGACTCTCACGTAGACCGCAAGACACAGTGGGAGTGCTCACGACGACACGACGGCAAGTGGAAGGAAGGGAAAGACGGGGGGTTGGGAGACTACACTATTGAGACGTGGCAAGGCAACGAGGCTATATAGGTGCGATTCCTTTTGGGCGCTGCAATCAGTGGGATGCTCAAATTCATTGAACGCGACTCGGATGCACTCCCGCGCTGTGCGATTGATGATTGGCGCTTCATCGTCGCAAGTGCGGCCGTGTGTGGGCTATATCAAATTCTGCCAGTGAGTACTTACTTCGAGCTCCTTCGCACTGCGTTTTTCTCCACACTAAAAGTTTCCACGAGTGAACTTCAACTAATTGCTATACCCAGGTGGAGGCTCATCAGACAACCCCAAAGCCCACGCCGATCGCATCTGCATCTCCAATGCCTCAATCCTCTCCGTCAGTGCGGTGTTCTTCTCCCTTGCCAACTGCAAGAGTTCTGCCATGTTGAACTCCTCGTCGGCACCGCTATTCTGGCGAGTGGGACTGCCTAGGATTGTAGCTAGACTTTGTCGTGACGACGTTGGCGAACGCTCGGTGAGGTTGTCGACATCCACCATCTGCTCCTGCGCTCTCCGGAGCTCGTCTTCGAGGAACTGACGCCGTGATTCTGCGACTGCTGTTGGTGGCGGTTCAGAAAGTCTACGTTTGGACGCTTCCTCAATGGCGTCGGGATGGACTTTTGACGACGGCGACGGCGAAGGGGACAGCTCCGGATGCTTCTCGCGAGGGAAGGAACTGGACAGATCCAAATCCGCTGGAAGGACGGCGACTGTGAGGGTAAGTCCCTCCCTCGTCATTCCATGAATATCGACAATTTGCTCCTAGAATGAACCCAGTTCGTTAGTGCGAATGCATGAAATAGGCCTACGGCGACGCACCTCGGAGAATTCAGAGTCCACCCCGCCGACCTCCGACCTCCCCATGGGACCCGAGTTCGATATCAGTCCCCCATTGCCATCCGCCGAGCTTGGTTTTGAACTCCGCCGCACGCGCCTCATGAGTTTATGACAAAGTCCGCATCGCAGAGCGAGGAAGAACGAGATGCCGAGGAGGATTGAAGGGACGATTATATTCGCCAGCGCGATTCCTGACTGGCCCGCCCTGCGGGTCAGTGGGTATGGTAAAGGCATTGGTGCCATTGAAGCTGGAAGCGCGCGTGCATCAATGCGTGGACCGTCGACCCGGGGAGCGAATATTAATGCTCACAAGAATAAGATTAAGGGTGGAGAAGGAGGGGAAGGGTGGTGGGTGGGATTGCAAATCCGAGGGAGCTGTGAGAAGTGGGGGCATGAGTATATGTGCCGAATCAATCTCCACTATCCCGCTTCCGTCGATGTTACGGCGCCCCATCGTTGCGAGGCACAATGCCGAACTTGAGTGATTGGACGGGGGGATCTGTTCAATTTGCCTGTATTGCTTACGCCGCACGCGTGCCCCAGCTCCTAGGATTCTAAAATGCAGGACCTCGAGCTTGTCGTGCATCGAGTACTGGGATTCCCGGCGTGAAAAGTAGTCGGGTGCGTTAGTTTTGGATCGCCGACTCGGAATCAACTACTCCCGCCGGCGTGTCGATCGAAGCGATGATATCAAGTCGGTTGCCAAAGTCAAGCCTTCGAGCGCTGTCGTCGACGTGGAAGACCGTGTCAGTGAGAATTCCGTATGCAGTGTAGTCCATCGACCCTTTACGTTGAACATGTAGCGCTGACCACACGGTACACTCGGCGAGCGAGAACGTGCGCTTGGGATGCCCCAGCTATCATCAGGCGTTCAACAATTCGTATATGACTGCTGTTGAGAATAAAAAAGCAGTACGCAGTGAGTTGCGATAACGTACCGCCAAAATGGGCAACTGGAACATGTTGCATATGACGATTCCGTCGGCTATGAGGTCCAGCGGGGATGGTGGTTCCTCAGGCGCGATGGCCGAGTGGTTAAGGCGACAGATTAGAATACTTAAAGATTGAGATCCTTTATCTGTTTCGGTTTCCGAGCGCAGGTTCAAGTCCTGCTCGCGTCGTTCTTTTGCTCCGTGGTCTGCCGTTTGCCCCGCGGAATCTCCTGGACTCTAACTTCTCCTCTCTTCCCACACACTGCGTATCCAGTCAAGCAAAGACTTGCAACTTCAACCTTCTCACTGATGTATTGCTCCGAGAGTTGGGAGAGCTCCATGATGCATGATGGCCGCTGCCAGCAGGTGGCGGTGCCGCAGCTCTTGACCACCAACCACCACCATCGATTGACCATCGTCCACGCCTTGAATTCTCGGCGATGACTCTCGAATGACGCCAAAAACTCAGGCTCGAAGTGTGATATGTACTTACAACGACTGGCCAGTTGGGACTTCGGCAGCATTCGGTTTAAATTTGCTCTCACCCTGTGCTCTCTCACGCCGTTTTCACGAGTCACCTTCTCGGCGAGTCACCACACATTGAAACTCGACGTGGCTTTTGTCTAACATCTATCTGGGCTGAGATGCTGACACACTCTATTGTGCATCTGCAATTGTTCCCGCAGAAGCACATGGTGGTCAATCTTCTAATTGTTTCAACTGCAATTGTGTTGTGCGTATAAAGTCCTCTCCGCAAAGCCCTCCTGCAGTCAAATCCACTGCAGAATCATGAGCTCTCATCGCAACCCATCCAGGCCCCGCTCGCCGGCCGAGCGCCGCACACCCACCTCTCCTGCAACTCCCAGCCGCCACGGTGGCAGTTCTACCCCTGCCTGGATGAAGGACCGCATCCCATCTGCCGAGTTATCACCCTACATCCCATTCCCAGACACACTGAGCACCAATTTCCACGCGCATCCGGACTGCATCATCGTACCTGAACAAGCTCAATTGCTGAACGTCGTGCCTCCCTCTCCAGCGAGTCCTGGCCATGGGGGAGGGAGCTCACGCGACAGAAGCTCGAGACACCCGCACGGACTCAACGTCGTCCCCGATCCCCAACCGGTGGCACTGCTCACTGCTCACTCGCCACCTCCCCCGCCTGCCCCTGGAGTTCGTAGGCAGGATTACGCGTATGGAGCGGCGCCGGGCACGCCTAGACCCGCACCGGACTCATACGCCCAGTCGGATCCGGCTTTGTCCAGGGGGATTCCTGGTGCGCTTGGGATGCAGGCGTTCCCGACCCGCGCTGATGGGCCGTGGAGGCATGGTGCTTAGGTCTTGGTTTATTTATGAGGGACATGGGTTAAAATGATGTATAATTCACGACAAGTAACGTATGAATTCATAGGATCGCCTCGGGCTATCTCGACTATCCGATTTGAGCTCTAGGCACTACATGCCAGGAAATCCGAGTCCAACACACTCCTGAGCTGCGTCGTCGAATACGTCTGACCGTCGATCTCCGCACCGATAGTGAATTCGTCAACACTGGTGGTGTTCAAACTCCACAGCGAATAGGCCGAGTTGACAGCGATATGCTGCTCAGGACGAGGAATGTCTATCTCAACAATGACTATGTGCCCCTCGCTGTCCAGTGTCACAGTCTCGAGGTAGACACGGGTAGGGTTGACGCCGTTGCGAACCTGATTCTCGTGTCAGTCGTAGTCATCTACAAACCCGTGAAACTCGCCGCGACATCCACCCTCCCACTGGCAGTGACCTCTCCCTCTGGCGACCCACTGAAATTATACAAACACGACGACCCAGAGAACATATACGCGTCCTGCACAGCAAACCCCACCCCGCCTTGGTCCTCCAGCTTGCCGTTCAAAATGAATCGAAGGCGCTGGATACCCGCTGCAGGGTCAAGGGAAAGCGACGCGAATGGCGAACCAGTGGGGTCGGTTCCGTACCACGCAGAGGTGTACTTGCCCCCTGTGGCCGACCCGGCACCTGCGAATCCAAGCGTGGTGTTCCCGATGGCTCCGAGGTGGTCATCCCACAGCATTTGGACCGTGCCCGCCGTCTCTTCAGTGTGATTCCAAAACTTGGACGGAGCATCAGCGGGAGAATAATCGCCCAATGATTTGAACACGCATCTGAACTTGTCCGCCATAGCCGATCATCTCCGTCGATGTGAAGCCCTGGCGAGCGAAAGCCGCAATATGCGTTTCCAGATCCTCCTGTGGTTGCGGGACACCAGGAGCGTTCGGCTCCCCTGCGTCGATGCGGCCTCCACGGAACGCGATCTCTGGGCCCCCACTTTTCCTGGTGAGAGAGGAAACTTCGAGTGGAGACACTTGGGCTCACCAGTTCTCGATGGCGAGTACAGCCGCGACTGCCAGGCTGTCGGCGACTACCAGAGCAATTCGTGAGACTGAGTTTAATCTGAAAGAAAAGGACGCACATCCGACATAACGATTGGCCACGCTTGAGAGGACCTGGAAGGTGTTGTTGAAACCGTCCCCGGCGTTCTGAAATGGATCACTGAGGGAATGCGTCGACCAACAGGTACGACATACCTCTGGACGGGATTTTTCCTCCGTGAAGCGGATCGACGCGTCCAGACCGCCGGTGCCGTCCGTAACATTGTGCGTGGCCATGTCGTGATACGCCTTTATAACAGGAAGAAAGTTGGATTCCACACAACGGAAAAGAAAAGTCAAATACGAACAGTTCGTATCCAATCCGCCGCATTCGACCGCCCGGTACTGCCACCTCCAAAGAGAAAGTTGTCGCACCGGTCATGAGGAAGCTGCCGTTGAAACCCGATTGGTCGAATCGTGCGGCGTCGAGGGCGTCCAACTGGGGTGAGGGCCACAGGCGTTGAGCCTGCGATGCGGTGACGTATCCTGCAAGCAGGGTCGATGTGGAGAGGGGGAAGAGCATTCTTGAACAGGATAGATTGCAAGAAGTCGACGAGCCTTTATATGCGGGAATTTCGAGGCAGCGAGTGCCGCGCAGGACGGGGACTTGCCGTGTTGCCATCGGTGACAATACCACGATGGTTCGCTCGTCCGAGGGCGTCGCGAGATTATGGGCGATATACTGTAAAATAATTATTGTGGTTTTTGAGCGACACGGAGCGCAACAGACACATCGGTGGCATCTCTTTGGGTTGCCACATCTGTCTGGGTTGCAACCTGTCTGGATTGCAACATGCCTGGATCACAACATATTGGGATCACAACCGCAGTGGGTTACATCTGAACCTTGATTTCAATTTTCCAGTAGGATCATTGATCATCACGTACTTGATTGACATATCATTGACATTCTGGATCATCGGCTGACTCAGAACTATGCAGGTCGACCAAACAATGAAAATCTGTCCCAATCCTTTCTTCCTACCACCATCTATCTACTTTTCTCAAAAAGTCCTCCGGCTATCTACTATCCCAGGTGAGTTCCCACCCGCACTCAATTATAATGCCCTGACCGACCCTCTCAGATACCAATGTCCGACGTGCCGCCGGAATTCCCACTGCCGGGATCGGAAATGCGACTGCGAAGGCTCTTGCGGGCGCTTCACCCCGGAGAATCCCCTCCGGAGTGCCATTTGGAGTTTCCGAGTCCGACTTCCGTCGTGCCTCTCTAGGAGTCGTGGAAACAAGTACTATTCATCGGTGCGTGCATATCTTCCATCCCTCGTTGTCGCATCACACGCTCACTGCCTATCTACGCTTCCTCACCCCGGCCTCGGACCCGTTCCGGGGAGCCTTCAATGCGTGGCTATTTTATGTCACTTGAGATTGCCTTCCTGTCCGGACCATCCACTTTTGGTCAAAAATTGATGGCCATCCGGTAAAGCCTTGATGTCTTTTTAGCAGTATATGTTTGCCGTTTCTGTAGGGAGGATCAAGGCATAAAGTAATCTGTATTTGAGATTGTAGTAAGGATCAAGTTCCCTTTCGGTCACCTCGGCAAACCGTTCCGGTCACCATCAAATCTCGTTCCTGTCATGTTGAGATGACCTTTCTGTCAGGTTTTCTTCATATCTCATCAGCCAGCCACCGGATTCCCAAGGTCTTGGTATGTATTCTGACCCTTTGTACCTGAAGAGTCCAGGAAAAATATCAGCTAAACCACCAGATAAATATTTGCTTTGATATTTGCTTTGATATAGGCCATATACCATCTGACATAAAATTCATTAGGTGAGCAAGCTGTATGACTTCATTTTTTTCGATTTGGCGGGGACTGCTCTCCAGAGGGTTGAGGAGTCTCGCAAGAGCTCCCCGCAGCGGGGATCGAGTGTAATTAAGCCAATATGGCCGCCATCATGAACTCGATCAAATCGCGATGGAAGTCTCGATTGCCGAGACTAGTGATCTCTTATTGATGCCGCCGATCAAAGTATGTTGCAAGTTCTCACCACATTCTGTAGCAAGTATACTGTGGCCAAAGTGAAGAACTGTAGGCAAAGTCCACCCGGTAATATGCCATCTACAAGCAGAACAGGTAAACTGCATCAGAGGTGGTTTTTGGAGTAGAACACCCCTTATCATGAGAAAAAATCACTGATAGAGACCCTTTGGACCTTAACAAAGACACAACTATATTTTTCTGGGCCTCGGAGGAGCCCCCAGATGATGTAGATACAAGTTGAGAACCAGGGGCCTACTGGCTGGTGTTCTGTAGAAAAGCCTGACAGAACGGCCATCTCGAATGACAGAAAAGTGATTGATATGACAGGAACGCCATCTCCCGGGACATCCCGTGTTTTTGCAGCCTTCAATCTCGTCCATCAACTCTGAGCCAACTCACGCAATCAAGGGGTTCACTCAGGACGAGTATTCGGTGAGTACACTGCGCCGACGTTTCTCCCCGTGCCTGATCCACTCTCCAAGGCAAAATGTCGGCCGGAGACCAGCCGTCGGTATGTACATCCCCACCGATCCGTGCCGTAGAAGCATCCTAGAACATAGATTATTCACCAATCATCTGTCCATGCTTTCGCACTTTTGTTTGGCTCAATTGAAACTTTGAAAGTTGTAAATTGGAACTTACCCGACTCTATGTGACTTGTTACACGGCAAATAGTAAGTATCAAGCTGCAGTTTGTTTATGAATCTATCGTACCCACAAGCAGAGAGGGCAAACCCACCGCCGTTCAAACCCACGGC